TTGTTTGGTCCTCTGGAGCAGTTACAACAACTTTGAGCTGAGAATGCTCACAACAGAGGAGAGGACTGTGGACTTCAGGTGAAGCCCATCATCCCTGACAGCCCCCACCATCCTCAATAAGACTGTGAGGGCAGTAGAGTTCTTCAAATTCCAGGAAACAACAGGCACCAGGGACTTGATGTGAAACATCCACTCCATCACAAAGAAAGCTCAGCAGTGGATGAGCTCTGCTGGGTTTCCGGCAGCTGAAGACATTCACCCTGCATCAAGAGCTGCTGGATCAGTTCTACACAGCCATTAAACTCTGTTTATCACAGTGTGCTTCTGCTCTGACATCCACAAAACAAAATGCATCATCAGGTTTGCATAAAGAACACTGGCATTACTCATTCTGCTTTATCTGCACACCTCCAGAACTAGGAAGTGTGCAGAGAAAACCAAATCTTACAATATTACTGTGGTAGAACCCAGATGTCTATTTCCATGGTTTAATTGTAAAGCTACAACAATGATATTGTGTCTGAAGAATGTGTGGGATGTCACTCCAGGATCCGTAATGATGCCCTCTTCAGTGGTCAATAACCTGATGATCATCTCATTTGCAGTGATGGAAATCCCCCCAAACTCACACAGCTGTCTCAGTCTCAGGGGGTTTGGGTGTGTTTGTGATGTGAAACTCAGATTTGCATGAGCAGAACGGCTGATGAAGGTTAGAGCAGCACTGTGGAGCTTCTGTATCTTAAAACTACCATTAAATTTCTTGTAAATAACTTTGAGAAATGTTCAGTAATTGTCCATCTGAAATCAGTTTCACTTTTATTTACCGAAACTTTATTCAAATGGAAACTCTTTTATTTATGTTCAGGGTTGTTCCATCAAATCCCCTGAAACAAAATTGAGTTGACAAGAGAACTGTGCCTGAAGCACCTTACATTTCCTGTCTAACATTCTAAAAATATCCACCTCAGTCTTTAGTTTCCTATGACAAAGTTTTTGCTCCAGCTACGAGGTACCAGTACTGCCCATGTTACGTTCCACTCAGCTCTTCTTCGTTCTCCTCTCGCTGTAGAACTCGACATCATCACTCGTCTCAACCATCTGCCTGCACCTTCTGCTGAATCAGTCTCCCTGACATCCACACTGTGGGTTGTTCTCACTGCTCTGCTACTCTGACTGGTGCTGCTTCAAGTAGATCCATCTCCAGATTCTCACGTCTTTACCCTTTTCTACCAGTTCATCACTTTGATTAAGTGGGAAATGCAGTCTTCCATGCCCTCACACTTCTATTTGTCCAGTGAATTGTCATGTCAGATTATCGGCTACAAGCTCTAATCTTATGCAAGTTGCTAGCTTGATCTGGTTGAATAAGTTACTGGTTAAAAAGAATATATTCAGCTTAACTGTCGTCAAAACAACCCATGTCAGGATAAAGGCATTCAGTAAAATTGCAGTTGTGGTAATTTACTAATTTGAATGCAGATACAGATTCGTATTGTATTTTATTGTGGACAAGAGTGACACTGGACCACAGTGTCATTTTTTTCTCATGTCCCTCTTTTTGTCTCTTCTGACTTTCTCCTTCTTTGTCTTCAACTTCCCTTCATTCTACTTGTCTGTCTTAATCCCAGTCCATCTTCGTATCACCTTTCAACCCTATTCCAACCCCTGTCCTCAGCTGCCTACCAAGTCAGATTCTCTCACTATAAACTTCTTCACCCGTCTTCACCCTCTCCACTGCCTCCTGGTTGTTCCATCTGCCAATACCCAACTCTTCATGTATCTTTCAGTCCCTTCTGGCTTGTACCTGCAGATCCCCCAAGATGTGGACTATCCACTCTAATGTTGGCTCCATCACCATCACCCCTTTCCCCCATACACTACCACTCTTGTCCTCCAGTCATTCCTCTTGCCAATGCTAAATTCTTTCTGCCTCTTCCTTTCCCTTCTGGCCTGCACACTGACCATCCAAAACAGACTTGAATCTCTCCTCTGTACACTACACTTCTTTTGCTTCAGCTGGTTGCATCACTCCCTGCCTGACTGGAGCTGCTAGATCACTCTCACTGGAGTACCCATGCCTTATAAGTTCAGGGTTCTTTTGGTTCCAGAGTTTGCTCTCTTGTTGTCTGTTTGTGGTTGAATTCTCATGAGGCAATTAGCACTTCGAGTCAACTCACTCTGCCTCTTTATGCCTTCATTGCCCCTTCTTTCTCAGTCCTCTAATTAGCCCCTAGTCCAGCAGGTGATTGGCCACTCTACTTCACTGGATTTCTTCATCATTTTCCATAAACACTATGTTCAAACATTTTTTTCTGTAAGCAAAGTGCTTTGTTTCTTTATCGGACTGTCATCTATGCTTGCAAACTAATCTTTTATCTCTACCCTTGAACACATCATTTGCATCATTACCATGAAATGCTCCTCTTCACCTCCAACGTCCTGTCGCACTTTGTCCCTCCCTGACCCTGGATGTTCCACCACTTTGGATGCTGCATCTCCCTCTAAACACCTGACACCATCCTTCTGGACACCATCTTTTTAGGCCTGTCTACTGCAGGCTAAGCTCAAATGTCTCCCTCATAAATTTGTTTTCTGTTGGGCCACATCAACCACATTCATTTTTCTATAGTGGCACCCCTTAAGAACATCCTTAAGTCCTGGTCCATAGATACTGTCAATTATCTGAGGACTTCTTGCCACGACCAGAGCTTCATCTGGCTGCCCTGTGTATCATGTGCATGAGTGAAATTGTGTATCATCATGTGCATGAGTGAAATTGTCATAGGCCTATTTTCTAGGCTTCATCTTGCCTTGCAGGGCTAGACATGATCTTGCGAAGCAAACACACCTCTGGGGACAACCTGCTGGATTGTGGAAACAAGCGTTCATCCCCTTCACCCCCAAATTCCTCTAATCTGTTTAGTCAGAATTCAATTCCAGTAGCTCATCTTTTCCCAAACATAGCTGTTAATTCTTCTATATCACATTTATTCTGGCTGTATCATTGTAACTGTGAACAGCAGAGGCCACATAAAGTTGCTGGTAACCTGCTGTTAACTTTTATCACTAGTGGTGTCTTCTAAAGATAAAGTATAATGTGCTATAAAACTGACATACTTAATGTGATCGGTTTAGAAATTTCACTCAGACTCTCCCCACCATAAAGGTCAATATGTAGCCCAAAATTTTGTATGGTTGTCGTTACGAGATCACGCCTGGCCCTGCAAGAGTTGCAAGGGCCAAGCACGTTCTGCTGGCCGCCAGCAGATGGCGATGGCAGTGAGGCGCCACAAGTTCAGGGAACTCCGCTTTCCAGAAGCCCTCTGACTGATTAGGCCCAACCTGGCACACCTGTGGACTCCTCTCTTAAGGCCGTGGCAAACACCAGCCCTTTGTCACACCTTTGTTGAGAAGTCACCCGTACGGTACTTAGCCCAGGTGGGTATTTAGACAAAAAGGAAAGGAAGAAGAAAAAAAAAGAGGACTGGGAAAAAATAAATTAAAAGAAAAAAGAGAAATTGCCCCAAAACAATAGAAAGAAGAGAAAAACGGCAAAAAAATTGGCATGTCAGATTATTGGCTACATGCTCTAAAACTATGCTGGTTGCTAGCTTGATCTGGTTGAATGAGTTACTGGTTTAAAGGAATGTGCTATAATCTGCTTTACTCATGTCAAAACAACCTCTGTCCGGATAAAGACATTCACATGAAATTGCAATTGATAATGTGAAAGAGAGCAAAAAAAGAATAAAATGCCCCAAAACTACTTAAAAGCCAAAGGCTTAAAGAAAAACGGCTCCAAGCCATACAAAAAAGTGTTTGTTCCACAAAGAGCAAACAGGTGAAACATAAAGCTGATCATCCTCTCATAAATACAGAGGAAGTGTCTTTTGTTTTGTGATTATCTTTTATTTCACTTTATCTCACCCTTTGTTTGACCTGCTTTCGGCATCACTCACTTCACCCTTGATCACCTAATTATATTCATTTAAGACCCTTTCTCACAGGTTTTCCTCTCTCCACTTGGGTTGACCTCCATGCCTTCCCGTAACAAGAGTAGGTTTCATCTTAATTTCAAATCATAAAACAGGAATATTAGGTTTTACATCTTAAATATTTTAAGAGTTAACTTAATTCTGAGTCTGGTTCAGTGTACCCGGTTGACACACCCTTGTGGACGGCTCTGCATACATTATATACGGTATCTTAAGAGGTAACTTACTTCTGACTCTGAGTCAGGTACTCGTTTGATGCCCCCTTGTGGACAGTCCTGTGTACATAATATATCTTGAGTTAACTTAATTCCAGGTTATACAGAGTAAACTACTGTTTTCTGGATTTACTGCTGGTAAAAAGACAATCCTACAAAACTGGATCACACCTGGACTTGGAAGCATTTTGGGCTGTTGATTTACTTAACTATGCAAAACTTAAATGTACTGCTATACGACTTAACCATGCTAAGCCCATGACTGTTGAAACGTGGCAAACTTTTGTGTTATGTATTTTGGATTTCCTCCAAGGTATTGAACACGGACACTTCCTCCTTTATTTAATTTTGTCTGATGATGATTGTACCTGTGATCACTTTGGCTCTTTATTTTTGTTCTGGCTATGTTGCTCCTTGTCCCCCTGTTGTTTATTGTCTTGTGAAACAATAAATTCTTGATCACAGAAGAGTTAATTTAATTCTGCGTTTGGGTCGGGGTACTTGTTTGATGCCCACTTGTGGACAGTAGTCCTGTGTATATTATATATCTTAAGAGTCAATTTAATTCTCAGTCTGAGTCAGTGTACCTGGTAAACGCCCCCTTGTGGACAGTCCTTTGTCAGTTGTGTAAATAATTCCAGGTCAAACTGAAACAGTGAAGTTTGTAAAAGGTTTTATTTTGCAGACATGATTATAGCAGTGGATGAAAATAAAGTTGAGAATGAAGAAGAAGATCTGAGATGGAGCTGTAAGATGATGTAGACGTTGATGTCAGCAGCTGATGTCCACACTCTTTAAGAGCGGTGAGTTCATCACTGGAGACTTCAGTCCTTTCAGAGCCCCTCACAGCACAATGATGACCACTCTGATCCTCCTGCTGACCACACTGGGCTTCTTTCCTCAAGGTCAGACTTTATTTATTTCTACAGTCTGGTGAAGTGCTGAGTTTGGTAACCTGCACTTTCCACACTGACAGTGTTCTCCTACAGTTTTGGAGGTTTTATTCATTCTCTTAGTTTGTTTTTGTTCTCGTTCCTTCAGTGTCCCATCAAGAGGTCCAGACTCCTGAGAGAAGTTCTGTTGAACCAGGACAGTCCGTCACTTTCAGCTGTGTTGCTAGTAGTGGGATCGGTTATGCCATGAGTTGGTACCAGTTGAAACCTGGAGCAGCTCCTAAACTGCTGATTTATGAAACAAGTAATAGAGGTTCTGGAGTTCCAGAGCGATTCAGTGGAACATACTCTGGATACACCTTTACGATGACCATCAGTGGAGTCCGGCCTGAAGATGCAGGAGAATATTACTGTATGGGTGCTTACAGTGGTCCAGTGTTCACACAGTGATAGAGTCGTACAAAAACCTCCCTCAGTCAGACGCAGAGAAAATGCACTGCTGCAGCTGCAGCTACTGAACCACAAAGTGTTGTTGTTATTGAATTATCACATAATTGCTATTATTATTGTTGAATTGCAGTTCTCTTTTTCATTCTTCATTATTTTTATTCAGTTGAATCAACGACAAGGAAACCTACAGTCTCATCACATCATTTATCCCTCAAAAACAAATTTCTAATATATTTGATGAGTTTATATATAAAGCTAATTTCATATCAAATGCTGACCCTAATCTTTTTAAGGACTTTCAGACTTAAATAAATAGAAATAAATGTTTTTAGCAGAACAAAATAGCTGAATAACATCTTCCCCTGAAACTGAACAAATAAATTCAGTTGTCAAAAAATCTAAAATAAATGTATGAAATAGTTATGAAATAGTTATAACTCCCTTAAACCTGAACATCTGCTCTACCAATCAATGTTAGTCATAAAAGTGTTTTACACAAACTTGGCGAGCCAGCCAGGAGACATCCATTTTCTGTACTGGTTTTTTACTCTTATTTTATTTTTACATAAGCAAAAATTAGTAATACTTGATATGATATTAGTAATAGTAATTCTTGGCACATAATATTGGTGTTTATTTCCAGTAATAATGTCTAAAGTAATGAATGTATAATCTTCAGAGGGCTCAATGGTTTTGCTCCCAGTGGAGTCGTCACGTCTGTCCCCAGATTTGCACTGGATCTGTCTTGGAGCAAATCATAACATGAAGTCCCAAATCACAGAACAAAGACGAATTTCCCGAAGCAGTTCACAGAGGTTTGACTGCCTGTTGATTGCACTGAGATCTGTTGTGAGAGAGTAATTTGAACCCTCTTCCTGTGAGCTGAATCTCTGAAAAGACTAAAGATTCTGGTAAAAGTTGCACCACCCTGATTGTTCTCACCACTTCAGAAGTCTTGTCAACTGAGCGAGGAAGATGCTGAGAAGATGCAAAATCATGTTTCAGAGCGCTGGGAAGAGGAATGTGTAGAGTGAAGGGCCACATCTTGTTCCTCTGGTGATGTTCATGGATGTTCTTGTTTATTTTTGTTTTTATGAAAAATGAGACATTCCTTTATTGCAGTGGTAGCGATAGAAGTGGTGATGGAATCCCATGAAGCAGAGTTCAGTCATTCATTGTATCTTGTGAAGCTACCATGCTTAAGTCTTCCAGAGTGGTGATCCCTTGTGTGTTCTCCTCTGGAAGCCACTTCAGCAGCTGTTTGGAGCTTCTCTCAGCACCTTCAGTATTTGGACAGCTGGTAAAAATGCATCCAAATCAGTTTTCAGGTCACAAAGGAGAGGAGGAGGATCTGTAAGAAAATTCATGAATTTTTAGGGTTTGTGGACGTATCCCAGAGTCAGTGATGCCTTCTTCAGTGGTTGATAACTGATAATGATCTCGTTAGCAGTGATGGAAATCCCCCAAACTCACACAGCTGTCATGATCATGATTCAGCAGCACTGAAGACCTTCTGTACTTTCAACACTGCAGTAAACTTACAGTAAATATTTGATATTTTAACTGTTATTTGTTTCAGTAGTTTTTCAATTTCTTCTTTCTTAATCTCCTGACTAGAAGCACTGAACACAGATTTAAAAATACAAGAACATTTGTTTTTGTTTTTCTGAGCTGCCTTCTGGAGTCCTAAATGGTGTGAGGCCCGTACCTTCTTTAGACCAGAATCAAGCCAATTCTGTGAATCGGGGCTCTAGTCTGTAAATCAGTTGTATCACAACAAATAAGCCAGAGTCTTGTAAACTGACTAAAAGGCAGGCTGTGTTTAAGTGGAACTTGATGGGCACTTTTAGCATGAAGACTGTTTTTCTCTGTCCTTTCTATGTAAGGAATACACATTTTCCAACACTGATTTTAATACAAGTGTCCAAAAACGTAACTATGTCTACTTGATGACTAAACTTAACGTAAGGTCTTAAACAGTTCATATACAGTGCGAAAAGCTCAAAATCCTTCTATAAACCTCTGTAAATGACAATCATCAATATACCTTTTGAACAGAATAATGTTTTCTAAAAAAGTTTTTGAAAACACACTGTTCCTCCAAATAACCCAAGTAAAGATGTGCATAATCAGGGGCCATAATGGCCTCCATTTCTTTCCTATTTTTGCATGATGTAACACTTCAGCTTCTCAACAATCTGGTGCTCCATTGTCATAGACTGAGATGGGTCTGGAGGCAGGCCAGTCAAGCACCTGCACATGTTTATTAACGAGTATTTTCCAGAGAATTCCCAAGCCAACATGGTGATATTCATTACAAAACTTTCTGTTTTTAACGCAGTGCCATCTTAGGGGTCGAAGGTCACAGACATTCACTTGCGGCATTGCTTTTTCTGCTCTCCTAATTCTCTGAACCTTTAAGAATATTATGCACTGTAGAGAGTGAAATACCTAAATTCCTTGCAGTTTTGAGAAACATCGTCTGGTGAAGTGGTGAGACTCGACCCATCCTCACTCATAAAGGGCTCGGCCTTTCCTGGATGCCCCTCTTATTCCCCATCATGGCTGCATCACCTGTTTACATTGTTGTTTTGGAATATTTCAAAGCACTCCTAGTCTTAGATTTGCCTTTCCTAAATGTTCTTGGAATGTGCTGCAGGAATCAATTTCAGATAGAGCACATATTTACAAAACTAATATTTACTAAACTAAAACTAATGAAGTTCAAAAGATAAATACTAAAATATGTTCTCTTCATATTGTTTTCATTTAAATATAGGCCAAAGTTCATTTATAAATCACTGATTTCTGCTTTTATTTGCTTTTTACCTACTGTCCCAATTTTTTAGGGATTGGGTTTGTAGATAATTAGCTCAAACATGGCCACTAGTTATCTTGTCTTTCAGTTCTCTTGTCCTTGAGTTCTCGTCTTTGTCATTGTATTATGTTTCCGTTCTCATAGCTGATTTCCTATTACAGAGTAACTTGTTTGACCACACTGAATACTTTCAACACTGACCAAAGAAATAGATACATTAAGAAGCAAAAGGTGGAGACTGTGATACAGTAATTAAACTGAAACAGTGAAGTTTGTAAAAGGTTTTATTTTGCAGACGTGATTAAAGCGGTAAATGGAAGTGAAGTTGAGGATGAAGGAGAAGATCTGAGATGGAGCTGTAAGATGATGTAGGAGCTGCTGTCAGCAGAAACACTCGTACACACTGCAGACTGATGGAGAGAGAGTGTGTGTGTGTGTGTGTGTGTGTGTGTGTGTGTGAGAGTGTGTGTGTGTGTGTGTGTGTGTGTGTGTGTGTGTGTTAGTTCTCGATACACTGCTGTGTGTTCAGACTCTTCATCACTGCTGTGCTGGAGCCGTGACTGACCTCACAGCTCACTGTCCTCGTCTTCCTCCACTGGTCCTCAGTGAGGGTCAGCGTGCTGCTCCAGCTGTACAGGCCGTTTCCCTGCTGCAGCACGCCGGGGCTGGTCACCACACCTGAGCTCCACCTGCTACCGTCCACCTTCCAGCTCAGCGTCCAGTCTGAGGGAAAGCCCTTACTGACCAAACACAGCAGTGTAGCCTTCCCCCGCTGGAGCTCCTCACTGGTGGGGGGCAGCAGAGAGAGGGAGGGCCGAGTGACACCTGGACACACCAGAGAGAGACAGACAGACAGACACACAGAAAGAGAGTAAGCTGTAGAAGTTTCTGTTCTCTCAAATAGTCGTATTTGTTTCTGTCAGTTGTTCTTTCACTTCCTATAACAGACTTTATGTTCATAAAGCAGAACTGAGCACAGCAGCTCATCAGAACTAACAACCTACAGGCTCTAAAAATTAAATAATAAACAACAAAAGATCATTTTAAACAGAATATTTAAAAGAACAATCAGTAAAGACTGAAATTATTTTTCAAATATTTGAATTCCAGGTTCAGATTTTTTCATGGGACAGAATAAAAATACATAATTCATTATTTACAGATTATTATACATTCTACACATTACTTTTAGCCTTAAATTCACCTTTAATTTCTCCTGTTTTAATTTCCATTATGAAACAGATCCAAGAGTAAATCAACAAATTTAAAATTTTTAATTTTATTTATAAACAGCATAACATAAAGAAATTGCATAATGTTTGCATTTTAACATTTATCTAAAGTTAGTTTTATGATTAAATATTTTTCTACAATATACTATTTACATTATGCTTTCATTTAAAAAAGAATTAATTTATATAACAAAAATTCCATGTAATGTGGAGTTCAACATGTGTATGTCTATATGTCTGTAGAAATAGTTTTGAAAAGTTAAGCATTATTTCATCATGAAACAGTAAATTTACAATTTCATTAATTTTTTTAAACTGTGCATTGACAGTAAATGCAACAGACCCATAATATACTGACTAAACGGCACTAAGAAAAAGTTCTTTTATAAAATGTACAATTAAAATACTTATAATTATAAAATATATTAAATAAATAATTTAAATTATATCTAATAGATTTTAAATCCCTATACTGTCCTTATAAATTTAAATACATTATAATGAGAATAAAAAATGACTCACGTCCAACAGAGAGTTTAGTTCCTCCACCGAAAATCCTCCACAGTGATAGAAACTCACTGAGTGTCTGTACAAAAACCTCCTGCACTGAAACTGCACTGTTTAACTCAGAGAAACCCAAACCTTCTACAGGATCTCCATCATCTACAGCAGTTTACAGGAGCACAGATCACACTCACTACAGATGATGGTTCCAGCTCATAGTTTACTGTTCAGTTTATTATCTACATTAATTTCTGACTGTAGTGATGTTGAATCTCTTTCCTGCAGAACGCAGACCTTTTTCTGCTCTCTTGATCAGCAGGATTTCCTCAGTCGTTCAGTTCAGGAGATCAAATAATCGCTCTTACAGTCTGACTCTGCACTTACGTCCAACATTCGGTTTGGGTCCTCCATCAAAAGTCCACTGCAGTGAGTTAATCTTATTAACTGACCATTAAAATGAAATTAAAGAAAAAGTCAAACAGTTCTCGTTCTAATGTTGATCTATGTGCTGCAGCACTTTTGAGAAAACAGGTTTGATCCATTTTAAAGGTCAGTAAAATCTGTAGGTTTCTATAATGGACTAAATGTGTGTGGATATGAAGGAGTCTCTGGGTGAGAGCAGAGGAAGGACAGTAAGGTCAGTCAGTAGAAGAGAGGTTTTGCATGCTCACAGCTCCACACTCTTTAAGAGCGGTGAGTTCATCACTGGAGACTTCAGTCCTTTCAGAGCCCCTCACAGCACAATGATGACCACTCTGATCCTCCTGCTGACCACACTGGGCTTCTTTCCTCAAGGTCAGACTTTATTTATTTCTACAGTCTGGTGAAGTGCTGAGTCTGGTAACCTGCACTTTCCACACTGACAGTGTTCTCCTACAGTTTTGGAGGTTTTATTCATTCTCTTAGTTTGTGTTTGTTCTCGTTCCTTCAGTGTCCCACCAAGAGGTCCAGACTCCTGAGAGAAGTTCTGTTGAAGCAGGACAGTCCGTCACCTTCAGCTGTGTTGCGAGTGGTGGGATTGGTTATTCTATGAGTTGGTACCAGCTGAAACCTGGAGCAGCTCCTAAACTGCTAATTTACTATACAAGTTATAGGGATTCTGGAGCTCCAGAGCGATTCAGTGGAACATACTCTGGATACACCTTTACGATGACCATCAGTGGAGTCCGGCCTGAAGATGCAGGAGAGTATTACTGTATGGGTGCTTACAGTAGTGTGTCCACACAGTGAAAAAGAGTCGTACAAAAACCTCCCTCAGTCAGACGCAGAGAAACTGCACTGCTGCAGCTGCAGCTACTGAACCACAGAGAATTTAATATTATAGTTACTATTTAATTGCAGTTTGTTTTTATTTGTCTTCATTGTTTTGCTTTAACTACAAGCAAAACTTATGTTTAATTTTTTAATCTTCAATATTCTGACTTATCATGACTTCTAAGATCATTTTACAACTTTTGAAAATATTTGAGTATTTTTTACATAGCATTTTTAAAAAACAGATGCAGTTTCTTAAAGCATATTAACAATTATTTTTATATAAAAACAAGCATCATTAGCCATGTATTCAGCATAATCTGCCCCATTCTCATTGAAGTCTCAATGCCATAGACATCTTTCAGGAAATTAAAATTGAAATTTTAAATGTAATCATTTTTGGGATTCAGTGAAAGATAGAATTGATATCTGCATAGAAACTTTAGAAATATATATATATATATATATATATATATATATATATATATATATATATATATATATATATATATATTTTAAATGGCACCAAAAGCAGGTTTGTATATAGAAAATGAATAGCACCTAAATGGAACCTTGAGGTCCACCATATGTAATGTGTCCTGGAGATGAAAAGAGTGAAATGTTCTATCTGAACAGAAAATATTGTTTCTTTCAAGTAAAAGTCAAACTAATTCAAAACAGTTCCCTGAACGGCACCAAAGGTAAGGCCCATGAAAAGATCCATAATGCAATTTTGTTGAAAAAGAAGAAGGTATATTTTAAATATAAAGAACTGTCAAAAGGTTAAAATAACTAATCACATTTGTTATATTTGCTCGTCTTTGACCCTAAATACAGCTTTCTTTCCATTTGCAAAGCAGTTATTGTGTTATAGCTATGAGCAGACACAGTTTGCTTCTTCAGAGTGTGTATATATTATTTTCAATAATTCAACACTGACTTGAATTTTAATTCACATGAAAGCAGGGTGAACATTAAAAATACGGTTAATGCAATTTCTCATTTTCATCACTGATTTTCAATGAGAGCAACAGTGTCTGAATATTCCAACCCATGAGTGTGTATCATATGCATAATATATACAGTTCATACGTTTATATATCATATACATAGTCACCGAGTGTATATATCACATGTAATATATACACTCAAAGAGTTTGCATATCATATATATCCAGAGTTGGCATAGCTACTGAAAAATGAGTAGTTAGCTACTTTGTGGCTACTTTCACAAAATTTGTAGCCGCTACAATTTAGCTACTTTTTGAAAAATATTTAACTACTTTTTAGCTACTTTCAAAGTGTTGTTGTCAGAATGTTTGTGAATCTCCACCTGACACACCAAACAAGCCCAACTGATAGTGTGAACAAGACACTGCATTCAATCATGTAGCACTGAAAAGCTGAAAATATACAAGAAGATCACCAAAAAGTAAGTTTAAGTGTAACCAACAATCAAACTTACACAACCAAAGGTGTGATATCCAACAAAAGTTTAGACTAAGTAAAGGCAAAGTCAATCATTCCTAGCAAAAGTTTTTCCTAACAAAAATCAACAAAACTGTATAAAACCAAACAATTTTTCTCTAATTTAAACATTTCATCGAGATCTGTACAGAAATAACATTCAGAGTCCTTTTTTAAACTTCAACAAAACAAATTTTCATCAGTGACGCTGGCTCTGCACAGTACTGTTAGTAATAGTCTATAATAAAAATGTTTTTCCGCCTTAGCTAAGCCAGAGGTCGGCTCTTTAACTGCCCTGTTGCGGCTCCACACCAGAACTAGATTTTTAGGTAAAATAACATAATCCTCCTTGCTGTAAAATAAAGCTCTGCTGATCTTTATAACACACAGTTCTAACAATAAATGGTCTTAAATGCTGGAGTTAAAGTATAACTGCTAATTCACCCTTTAACCCTGAAGATCAGCGCAGACTGCCGGTCACACAGCGACGCAAACAACCTCACCCAGCTCGTAGCTACGGAAAAGGCAAAGAGAAAGATTTAAGACGAACATCGACAATTTGGAGACAAACTGTCTTCTTTGCATTTATAATCACTCCAGCTGGTTTCCTGATACATTTAATCTACAACGAGAAACTGTCAGACACCAAGTTGTGAAGTCGCTTCTCTTTCGCCCTCTTCTCATTGAGATTTTCCCGTTCCACCTTAAATGGCGCAGCCGTACATTCTGGCGCCTCAGGCACCATTTAAGGTGGAACGGGACAATTCGAACAAGAAGCTGGTGAATGAGAAGCGACTTCAGCCTCGTAAAAAGTCGAACATTGAGAGACATTTTACAAGAAACTCTACTTTCGCTGGAAAGTTTCCTGACTGAGGTGCGAGAAAAGCAGCTATAGCTGAGCTAAAGGTTAAAGCAGAGCAAAGTAAGTCTGCATTTTACATCAGCACATACTGAGACATATTTACAGTCATGATGGTAAAACAGACATAAAATGTTGTGGCTCCCAAGGTGGTTTCATTGTTGTTGAAGGGACAAAGTTAAGCCTACTAGTAAGGGGTGATCAGTGCAAACTGCTGAGTACTGCAAGTACTGCTCTGGCTTTTGTTTTCTGGCAGTATCTGAGCTCAGGGATAGTTTGGACTCTAACCTATTTGTAGTAGCTAGAATATTTTTTTGGAGTGGACAACAAAGCAGTTTTGTAAGTCAGTCTGTACAAGAGCATCTGTTAAATGCCGTAAATGTAAACAAACATAACATTAAATTCTGCATCTCAAAGCACTGATGTGATTTTTCTGCTGCTGTAACAGCAAAAACTTAGTGAGCCAACCAGGAGCTGAGCTTTAAACACTGAACCAGCATCATGTTCCAGTAGAACAAAGGAACAATGGACCAGAAGTTTTTGTCTTTTACTCTCAACTTTCACGGAGGATCTGAAAGCAGGTGCAGTCCACTAAACCGGACCATTCTCAGAAGCCCTGCCCGGAGGTTCAGGTGCTAGTTAATTGCAGTGAGATCTGCTGTGGGACAGAAATTTGACCCTGTAAGCTGAAACTTTGTAAGGATTTAAAAGATCCTGGCCGCCCTGATTGTTCTCCTCACTTCTCAACTGAGTTAGGAAGATGCTGTAAAGACACAAGCACAAGCATGTTTCAGAGAGCTGGAAAGAGCAATGTGCAGAGTGAAGAACCACATCTTGTTCTTCTGGTGATGTTCATTGAGGTTCTTGTTTATTTGTGTTTTATGAACATTGAGATCTTGTTTTACACAGTGAGAGTTTCCTTTATTACAGTTGCAGAAACAGAGGAGGTGATGGAACCACATGAAGCTGTGTTGGACAGTTTATTATCATTTGTGAAGCTGTAACATCTCATGAGTTGTGTTTGGAGAAAGTCACTCCAGGATCAATAATGATTCCTTCTTCATTGGTTGATAACCAGTGATGGAAATCCCCTCAAACTCTCACAGCTGTCTCAGTCTCAGGGGGTTTGGGTGTGTTTGTGATGTGAAACTCAGATTTGCATGAGTAGAACGGCTGATGAAGATCAGAGCAGCACTGTGGAGCTTCTGTAACTTCAGCATGACTTTAATAAACTAATTTGAATACATTTTCAGTAATTGTTCATCTGACAGCAGTTTGACTTATTTACAGGAACAGTTTGTGAGCTCATTCACATGCAAACAGTCTATCAACTTTCCAACACATTTACAGTAAACAAGTTTTAACTATTTGAACCATCGTTCAAGTTTGAAATCTAATTTGTTGAAAATACCTGCATTAAAATATTCTGATTGTAGAACTTTACATCTTCACAGATTTCAACTAATTAGTGGGAAGCTGTAAATAAAAATGCAGAAATACTAGATGTGTCCTCAGTAATGATTGGAGCTGTAGAAGATTCTAAAATGACTGGGGAAGCTGTTGAACATCAAGAATTACATTCTAATAAAATTAATATTATTATTAAATTAATAATACTGCCCTGCGATGGACTGGCGACCTGTCCAGGGTGTATCCTGCCTTCCGCCCAATGACAGCTGGGATAGGCTCCAGCACCCCACCGTGACCCAGAAGGATAAGCGGTTTAGATGATGTATGTATGTATGCATGTATGTAAAATTAATATCCAAAATGCCTCATATCTGAAATGTGGTAAACATAACCCCAGCAGATAGCTTATCAAGACATTACTATTAATTAAGTAAACAGAAAAATCCAAAAAGTTAAAATATTAAATGAATGATCTTAAAATACCATCTAGTCTGTAGATTATAATATTTCAGTCTTTTCTTGTACATAACTTATTACTGAAAACAATAACACTAGTTAATGTGGAAAGTGATTCCAGTCATTTTAATAATAGTTTACCTAGTTTTGATTGCACTGTTGTTGATTAGTTAGGGGTGATCTAGTGATTCATCTCTAGTCATTAGTTCTCTTTTTATGTCATATTTCATTTAAACATTCTCATTGTGCACATTTTCCTTCAGCAGTGACCACTGAAATTTGTTAACAAGCAGATGTTGGACAAGAGTGAAACTGTCGTAGGCCAATTTTTCTGATTTTACATCACTGAGTCTGGGTCACTGTAGCTGGTTCAATGCCCCCTTGTGGACAGTCCTTTGTATGCTGTGTAAATAATTCCAGATCAAACTGAAACAGTGAAGTTTGTAAAAGGTTTTATTTTGCAGACACGATTAAAGCAGTGAATGGAAGTGAAGTTGAGGATGAAGGAAAAGATCTGAGATGGAGCTGTAAGATGATGTAGGAGCTGATATCAGCAGAAACACTCGTACACACTGCAGACTGATGGAGTGTGTGTGTGTGTGTGTGTGAGAGAGTGTGTGTGTGTGAGAGTGTGTGTGTGTGTGTGTGTGTGCGTGTGTGTGTTAGTTCTCGATACACTGCTGTGTGTTCAGACTCTTCTTCACTGCTGTGCTGGAGCCGTGACTGACCTCACAGCTCACTGTCCTCGTCTTCCTCCACTGGTCCTCAGTGAGGGTCAGCGTGCTGCTCCAGCTGTACAGGCCGTTTCCCTGCTGCAGCACGCCGGGGCTGGTCACCACACCTGAGCTCCACCTGCTACCGTCCACCTTCCAGCTCAGCGTCCAGTCTGAGGGAAAGCCCTTACTGACCAAACACAGCAGTGTAGCCTTCCCCCGCTGGAGCTCCTCACTGGAGGGGGGCAGCAGAGAGAGGGAGGGCCGAGTGACACCTGGACACACCAGAGAGAGAGAGAGAGAGAGACGGACAGACAGACAGACAGAAAGACATTAAACTGTAGAAGTTTCTGTTCTCTCAAATAGTCGTATTCGGTTCTGTCAGTCGTTCTTTCACTTCCTATAACAGACTTTATGTTCATAAAGCAGAACAGAACACAGCAGCTCATCAGAACTAACAACCTACAGGCTCTAAAAATTAAATAATAAGTAAAAAACAAAAGATCATTTTAAACAAAATATTTAAAACAATCAGTAAAGACTGAAATTATTTTTCAAATATTTGAATTCCAGGTTCAGAATTTTTTTATTGGACAGAATAAAAATATATAATTCATTATTTACAGATTATTATACATTCTACACGTTACTTTTAGCCTGAAATTCACCTTTAATTTTTCCTGTTTTAATTTCCATTATGAAACATATCCAAGAGTAAATCAACAATTTTATAATTTTTAATTTTATTTATAAACAGCATAACATAAAGAAATTGCATAATGTTTGCATTTTATCTTTTATCTAAAGTTAGTTTTATGATTGAATATTTTTACTATTTACATTATGCTTTTATTTAAAAAGAATTAATGTTTACATAACAAAAAAATTCCATGTAATGTGGACTTCAACGTAAGTCTATATGTCTGCAGAAATAGTTATTTTAAAAAGTTAAGAATTATTTCATCATGAAACAGTAAATTTACAATTTCATTATTTTTTTTAAACTGTACATTGACAGTAAATGCAACAGACCCATAATATACTGACTAAACGGCACTAAGAAAAAGTTCTTTTATAAAATGTACAATTAAAATACTTCAAATAAATAATTTAAATTATATCTAATAGATTTTAAATCCCTATACTGTCCTTATAATTTTAAATACACTATAATGAGAATAAAAATTGACTCACGTCCAACAGAGAGTTTAGTTCCTCCACCGAAAACGTACCACAGTGATAGAAACTCACTGAGTGTCTGTACAAAAACCTCCTGCACTGAAACTGCACTGTTTAACTCAGAGAAACCCAAACCTTCTACAGGATCTCCATCATCTACAGCAGTTTACAGGAGCACAGATCACACTCACTACAGATGATGGTTCCAGCTCATAGTTTACTGTTCAGTTTATTATCTACATTAATTTCTGACTGTAGTGATGTTGAATCTCTTTCCTGCAGAACGCAGACCTTTTTCTGCTCTCTTGATCAGCAGGATTTCCTCAGTCGTTCAGTTCAGGAGATCAAATAATCGCTCTTACAGTCTGACTCTGCACTTACGTCCAACATTCGGTTTGGGTCCTCCATCAAAAGTCCACTGCAGTGAGTTAATCTTATTAACTGACCATCTAAAAACAGCTGAGCTAAACTCTGGAGGGACAAACTGATCACAGTATATCGCCGATTACTGGAGGAACGACAGATTCTGAACATTTCGAAATGTCTTCCTGATGATGAGAGAAACTGTTCATTTATGGCAAAATAGTGAATAAACAGTTAAAACACTTTAAAAAAGAATCAAAACACAGAAATATCAGAAATGAAAGCTCAAAGTTCTCGTTCTAATGGTGATCTTTGTGCTGCAGCACTTTTGAGAAAACAGGTTTGATCCATTTTAAAGGTCAGTAAAATCTGTAGGTTTCTATAATGGACTAAATGTGTGTGGATATGAAGGAGTCTCTGGGTGAGAGCAGAGGAAGGACAGTAAGGTCAGTCAGTAGAAGAGAGGTTTTGCATGCTCACAGCTCCACACTCTTTAAGAGCGGTGAGTTCATCACTGGAGACTTCAGTCCTTTCAGAGCCCCTCACAGCACAATGATGACCACTCTGATCCTCCTGCTGGCCACACTGGGCTTCTTTCCTCAAGGTCAGACTTTATTTATTTCTACAGTCTGGTGAAGTGCTGAGTCTGGTGACCTGCACTTTCCACACTGACAGTGTTCTCCTACAGTTTTGGAGGTTTTATTCATTCTCTTAGTTTGTGTTTGTTCTCGTTCCTTCAGTGTCCCACCAAGAGGTCCAGACTCCTGAGAGAAGTTCTGTTGAACCAGGACAGTCCGTCACCTTCAGCTGTGTTGCAAGTTATGGGATCGGTTATGCCATTAGTTGGTACCAGTTGAAACCTGGAGCAGCTCCTAAACTGCTGATTTATGAATCAAGTAATAGAAAATATGGAGTTCCAGAGCGATTCAGTGGAACATACTCTGGATACACCTTTACGATGACCATCAGTGGAGTCCGGCCTGAAGATGCAGGAGAGTATTACTGTATGGGTGGTTACAGTGGTCCAGTGTTCACACAGTGAAAAAGATTCGTACAAAAACCTCCCTCAGTCAGACGCAGAGAAACTGCACTGCTGCAGCTGCAACTACTGAACCACACAGTGTTTTTCTTATTTAGATGATTATTATTATTATTGTTTAATTGCAGTTCTCCTTTTTAATTCTTCATTGTTTTTGATAAGTTGAATCAACTACAAGGAAAGTCTCATCACATCATTTATCCATCAAAAACAAATTTCTAAAATATTTGATGAGTTTATATATAAAGCTAATTTCATATCAAATGCTGAACTAATCTTTTAAAGTACTTTCAGAAATAAATAAATAGAAGTAAATGTTTTTAGCAGAATCCTAATAGCTAAATAACATCTTCCTTGTTCTTTTCTTAAATGGAGAAACTTTTTGCTATTCATGATTTCAAATCCTAAAGTAAATCTAACAGATATTTGTGAAAGCAATGATTTTCAGGTTTCCTGCATGGAAATGGTTAGAATTGTCATGGTTCTTTAAAATGGCACCCAGAGGAGGCATATGGAAAATAAAATATGGATATATGTGATGAGATTTTTTAGATGAAAATAATGAAATTTTCAATCTTAACAGAAAATGTCATGTCGACTGAGACGTTCTCTGAATGCCAAGGTTTTACTCAAACTTGGCGAGCCAGCCAAGAGTTTAATATTGAACCACCATCTTGCATTAGCAGAATAGCAGAAATCTATGTTTAAATGATTGATCACCACCAGAGCATTATTAAATACTCAAACATCCATTTTCTATACTGGTTTGTTACTCTTATTTTAGTTTTATATAAGCAAAAATTAGTAAAACTTGATATGAGATTAGTAATAGTAATTAGTAATACTTGATACATAATATTGCTGTTTGTTTCCAGCAGTAATGTCTAAAGTAATGAATGTATAATCTTCAGAGGGCTCATTGGTTTTGCTCCCAGTGGAGTCGTCACGTCTGTCTCCAGATTTGAACTCGATCTGTCTTGTTAGAAAATTCAGGAACTTTTAGAGTGTCTGGACGTATCCCAGAGTCAGTGATGCCTTCTTCAGTGGTTGGTAACTGATAATGATCTCGTTAGCAGTGATGGAAATCCCCCAAACTCACACAGCCATCATGATCATGATTCAGCAGCACTGAAGACCTTCTGTACCTTCAACACTGCAGTAAACTTACACTAAATAGTTTGAAGAACTTAATCAGACTTTTTAACTTTTATTTGTTTCATTTGTTTCTCAGTTTCCTCTTTCAGCATTCAGGGCCAAGACAAATATTCAATAATATAAACCCATTTTAACAGCAAACAAAATTTACGAATATTTTTAATGACTTGCTTAGAACTTTCTACAAGCAAATTCCAAAAACTTTGGGGCTGTAGATAAAACATGAATAAAAAACAGACGGCAGTGATCTACAAATCATATTGCCCTGTATAAATGAAAACAGTATAAATGCAAATTATTTAATGTTTAAACTGATTATTTGTTTTTTGTATATATGTGCTTATTCTAAATTTGAATAACTGTTACCTGTTGCCAAAAGTTGGCCTGTTCTCCACTGTGTTCCATCACCTTCCATGATAAGAGTGTTCAGTAATCATTTCAGAACTGAGGACACTGATTGTTTTAGCTGTTAATGTGGATCTCTTTATAAAAATGGAGCAGGAAAGTGTTGCCCACACACTGCTGAAAAGTCCATTAAAATTCTATATTTATTCCATTCAATAAAGTACAAAAAGCCAGACACAAACTGAGCAAATGTTTCAGCTTCTTGCTACCATCAGTGCTCATAAAGAAACTCAACCTGCTTCCTTTTTGAAGACCCAAACAAACTGCCCTCAACCGTGTAGCAAGCAAGAGAATAAACTGAGTTACAACACAGAAATCAAGTGCATCAAAAATCATTTCAAAATACAAAAGAAAACTACTGAGATTAATATCCTCATTCATACTTTTAGGGAACTAAGATAAAAGTTCACAAATCCAGAAGGCTTCCCTCTGTAATGATGTTTTGTCCTGATCTCCAATGGTGTGAGGCCCGTCCCTTCTTTAGACCAGAATCAAGCCAATTCTGTGGATCCCCAAGGACACAGAAGACCTTGTACAGAATCGGGGCTCTAATCTGTAAATCAGCTGTATCTGAACAAATACGTCAGAGTCTTGTAAACTGACTAAAAGGCAGACCACATTTTAGTGGAGCTTGATGGGCACTTTTAGCATGAACACTGTTTTTCACTGTGTTTTCTATGTAAGGAAGATACAATTTTTCAATCACTGATTTTAATACAAGTGTCCAAAAATTTAACTTTGTCTACTTGATGACTAAACTTAATTAAGTTTAAGGTCTTAAACAGTTCATATACAGTGAAAAGAGTTCAAAGTCCTTCTGTGAATCTCTGTAAATGTCAGTCGTCAATATACCTTTCGAACAGAATAATGTTTTCTAAAACGTTTCTGAAAACACATTGTTCCTCCAAATAACCCAAGTAAATATTTGCACAATTAGGGGTCATGATGGCCTCCATTTCTTTCCTATTATTGCTTGATATAACACTTCAGCTGCTTAACAATCTGGGGCTCCATTGTCATAGATTGTGCACACATTTTCAGTAGGAGATGGGTCTGGACTGCAGGCAGGCCAGTCTAGTACCTGTACATGTTTATTAACGAGGATTTTCCGGAGTATTCCCAAGCCCATGTAGTGATATTCACTACAAAAGCATGTTTTTAATGCAGTGTTGTCTTAGGGGTCGAAGGTCACGGACATTCACTTGTGGTTTTCGCCATTGGTTTTTCTGCTTTCCCAATTCTCTGAACCTACAAGAATATTATGCACTGTAGAGACTGAAATTACTTGCAGTCGTGCCTTTAGAAACGTCGTTTGGTGAAGTGGTGAGACTCGACACATCCTCACTCATAAAGGGCTCGGCCTTTCCTGGATGCCCCTCTTATTCCCCATCATGGCTGCATCACTTGTTTACATTGTTGTTTTGGAATATTTCAAAGCACTCCTAGTCTTAGATTTGCCTTTCCTAACTGTTCTTGGAATGTGCTGCAGGAATCAATTTCAGATAGAGCACATATTTACAAAACTAATATTTACTAAACTAAAACTAATGAAGTTCAAACTATAAATACTAAAATATGTTCTCTTCATATTGTTTTCATTTAAATATAGGCCAAAGTTCATTTATAAATCACTGATTTCTGCTTTTTACCTACTGTCCCGGCCACTAGTTCTCTTGTCTTTCAGTACTCTTGTCTTTATCATTGTGTTATGTTTCTGTTCTCATAGCTGATTTCCTATTACAGGGTGTCTTCCTTGACCACACTGAATACATTCAGCACTGACCAAAAAATAGATACATTAAGAAGTAAAAGGTGGAGACTGTGATACAGTAATTAAACTGAAACAGTGAAGTTTGTAAAAGGTTTTATTTTGCAGACACGATTAAAGCGGTAAATGGAAGTGAAGTTGAGGATGAATGAAGATCTGAGATGGAGCTGTAAGATGATGTAGGAGCTGATGTCAGCAGATACACTCGTACACACTGCAGACTGATGGAGTGTGTGTGTGTGTGTGTGTGTGTGTGTGTGTGTGTGTGTGTGTTAGTTCTCGATACACTGCTGTGTGTTCAGACTCTTCTTCACTGCTGTGCTGGAGTCGTGACTGACCTCACAGCTCACTGCCCTCGTCTTCCTCCAGCTGCTCCAGCTGTACAGGCCGTTTCCCTGCTGCAGCACGCCGGGGCTGGTCACCACACCTGAGCTCCACCTGCTACTGTCCACCTTCCAGCTCAGCGTCCAGTCTGAGGGAAAGCCCTTACTGACCAAACACAGCAGTGTAGCCTTCCCCTGCCGGAGCTCCTCACTGGAGGGGGGCAGCAGAGAGAGGGAGGGCCGAGTGACACCTGGACTCACCAGAGAGAGAGAGAGAGAGAGAGAGAGAGAGAGAGAGAGATGAAGCTGCAGAAGTTTCTGTTCTCTGAAATAGTCGTATTCGGTTCTGTCAGTCGTTCTTTCACTTCCTGTAACAGACTTTATGTTCATAAAGCAGAACTGAGCACAGCAGCTCATCAGAACTAACAACCTACAGGCTCTAATAATTAAATAATAAACAACAAAAGATCATTTTAAACAAAATATTTAAAACAACAATCAGTAAAGACTAAAAAGATCTATAAAACATTTGAATTCCAGGTGCAGAATGTTTTTCTAAGACAGAATGAAAATACATAATTCATTATTTACAGATTTTTATACATTCTACACGTTACTTTTAGCCTGAAATTCACCTTTAATTTCTCCTGTTTTAATTTCCATTATGAAACAGATCCAAGAGTAAATTAACAATTTTATAATTTTCAATTATATTTATAAACAGCATAACAGAACCAAATTGCGTAATGTTTGCATATCAACATATTTATCTAAAGTTAGTTTTGGGATTGAATGTTTTTCTACAATATACTGTTTACATTTAATGCTTTATTAAAAAGAAAAAAAAATGTTTATATAACAAAAAAATTCCATAAACTCATAAACGTATATTGCCGGTTCCTGGAGGAACAACAGATTCTGAACATTTCTAAATGTTTTCCTGATGATGAGAGAAACTGTTCATTTATGGAAAATTAAGAAATTTGAAGATGAAACATTTCAAAGTGAATAAACAGTTAAAACACTTTAAAAAAGAATCAAAACACAGAAATATCAGAAATGAAAGCTCAAAGTCCCACAGTTCTCGTTCTAATGTTGATCTTTGTGCTGCAGCACTTTTGAGAAAACAGGTTTGATCCATTTTAAAGGTCAGTAAAATCTGTAGGTTTCTATAATGGACTAAATGTGTGTGGATATGAAGGAGTCTCTGGGTGAGAGCAGAGGAAGGACAGTAAGGTCAGTCAGTAGAAGAGAGGTTTTGCATGCTCACAGCTCCACACTCTTTAAGAGCGGTGAGTTCATCACTGGAGACTTCAGTCCTTTCAGAGCCCCTCACAGCACAATGATGACCACTCTGATCCTCCTGCTGACCACACTGAGCTTCTTTCCTCAAGGTCAGACTTTATTTATTTCTACAGTCTGGTGAAGTGCTGAGTCTGGTAACCTGCACTTTCCACACTGACAGTGTTCTCCTACAGTTTTGGAGGTTTTATTCATTCTCTTAGTTTGTGTTTGTTCTCGTTCCTTCAGTGTCCCACCAAGAGGTCCAGACTCCTGAGAGAAGTTCTGTTGAAGCAGGACAGTCCGTCACTTTCAGCTGTGTTGCGAGTGGTGGGATTGGTTATTCTATGAGTTGGTACCAGCTGAAACCTGGAGCAGCTCCCAAACTGCTGATTTATGAATCAAGTTATAGAAGTTCTGGAGTTCCAGAGCGATTCAGTGGAACAAATTCTGGATACACCTTTACGATGACCATCAGTGGAGTCCGGCCGGAAGATGCAGGAGAGTATTACTGTATGGGTTACTATCATTTTAGTGGAGTGTCCACACAGTGAAAGAGTCGCACAAAAACCTCCCTCAGTCAGCCGCAGAGAAACTGCACCGCTGCAGCTGCAGCTACTGAACCACACAGTGTTATTGTTATTTTTGAATTGTATCTTTGTTTTTAGTTTCTTTTTGTTTTTCTTCAGATAAAGGAAACGTCCATGTCTAATTTAAACTTCTTTATATTATCAATAACCACTTATTGTGGTTAAAATCTTACATATTTTTGCTTCAAAGTGTGTATTTAATTTAGCAGACACTCTTATCCTGAGCAACTTAGAAATTGATCATTTTACACAGGTAGGTGAAGGTGGTGTTAGGAGTCTTACCTAAAGACTCTCATTGGTAAAGCATTTGTCCAGGTGAGGGATCAAACTCCAGTCTACAGCATGGAGGACAGAATTGTTATCCACTACACTATACCAACCACTAATATTCTAATTTTGAAGTTTTTTTATAAAGCAAATCGGAAAACATTGAATGCTGACCACAGTTTTTTTAAAGCCTATTGACAATTAAGTAAAAAGAAAAAAATAAATGTTAGTTAGCTGTGTGTCTAACATAATTAGATGAACCTAATATGATAACATCTGCTTTATTCTCATTTAAGTGGAGAAAGTGTTTTGCCATTCTCACTCTCACATCCTTAAAGACATCAAAAATAGATTTTAAAAATTAATCATTCTCAACTTTCCGTGAATAATATAACTGCTATATATAACTGTATCTTTAGGTATGAGGCAGTTCAATCTGAAGCAGTTCCGTGAACAGAATCAGAGGTAAGTTCAACAGTGAAAAGGTCCACAATGCCAGTAATTAACAATGTGTTTATTTTAGTGTGATGCTCGCTCCACCATATAAGAATCATCTCTGTGCCAAGAAGCTTTCAGGTAACTCAACCCTGGTCATTACTGGTTTAATCATTTTCTGGAAGTTGATTCAGCATTAAATAACATTTGAAATATTATATATGGAATATATATAATGGAATATTTTACATAAACCGTAGGCTGACAGATGGTCTTATGTTGTTTGATTCTGCTAAAATATGTAACTTCACTGAATTCTTCTAAACTCTTAAAATAGAAATTGAACGTGTTCAGTTTAAGGCCATCTAACTATGCCACTGAAATCTTAAAGAGAATATTTGAATACCTTAAAACCAAATAAAAAAAAAAAAACTAAACTCCAACATAAACTGCTCAGTTCAGTTAAAATTATTTTTATGAATGAAGTAGTTCTGAACATTGCTGGTATTGAAAGTTTTGAAATGTTAAAAGTTTTGTTTTATTCTCATGTCTTTGTTTTCCTATGAAGGGCCACCCTGATGGTTCTCCCCACTTAAGAAGTCTTGTCAACTGAGCTAAAGTGTAAGCCAAGGGTGACAGTAGCAGGAGAAACTCACTGGGAGCATAAGAACAAAACACTGAGAGGTACCAAGACTCTAAAAGAGAACCCATCCTCCTCTGGGCTGCACCTCATAGTTCAGTTAGGATACCAGTAAACAGGTTTACAGGGAAAATTAAGCAGGCATCATACAGAGGAAAGATTCAATGGTTTTAATGTTAAAAACTCAGAAATCTACACAAAACTGATCTGATATACTATTGATTGTGACTAACAGAGTTTATTGTGTGTGAAAAACATGATTACAGATTCTAGAACTGAGGAATTCTTGCTGAGTTTGGTAATCTTGAAGCTGAATACAGATCATAACAGAAGTTTGAGAGGGATATGACAAACTGTTGTTTGACACTGGCCTGGATATAAATATGTAGAAAACATCTTCACTGCTTTGGGAAACTGTTAAAATGCACTGTCTCTTTGCATTTGTGTGTATTTTGCACAGTACAAGCTGCCTTTATTGCACTTGTTGAAGATGTTGATGGTACCACATGAATCTATGTTTAGACGTTCATTATCATTTGTTTGAAGGTTTGTACAGACCAACTTTTCAGAGTCTTCATACAGATCTGTATCAGATTATTGAAGCTCTGTGAAGGACATTCCTGCTTCAAATGCTCCTCAATAATCTCTTTTTCCAATAATAAAACCAATAGTACTTAAAATACTTAGAGAGATTGGTTTTAGGACACCTGGAAAACAGCACAAACCCACTGCTGGACCCCCTGCAGATTGCATATGAGGCCAGACCTGTTGGCCTGATATTCAAACTGTAGGGGGTCCAACATGGAGTTTGCTATGTTTTTAGGTGTCATAATACCTAAAGCAGAGCACATGGGACTCCACCTATACTTCAACACCTCAGCTAGCCAAGGACATATGCAAGAATCCTGTTATTAGACTCTAGCTCAGTGTTAAGTACTAATTTGCTTGAATTGCCCTCAAACTCTTTGAACCTGCCTCCACCTGCTAGTGGAGCAGCAGCTTCCTCACAGGTGGAAAGCAGCAGGTGAGGCTGGGAAAATTCTTATCAATCACTCAAACAATCAATATTGGCTCCTCAAGGATGTCTACTCTCCCCACTGCTCTTCACAGTGTACTAATGACAGCAGTCATTGAACTCATCAGAGATAGTGATGAGTCTGCTTACAGATGAGTTGTTGGTTGGTCCTCTGGAGCAGTTACAAGAACTTTGAGCTGAGAATGCTCACAACAGAGGAGAGGACTGTGGATTTCAGGTGAAGCCCATCATCCCTGACAGCCCCCACCATCCTCAACAAGACTGTGAGGGCAGTAGTTCTTCAAATTCCAGGAAACAACAGGCACCAGGGACTTGATGTGAAACATCCACTCCATCACAAAGAAAGCTCAGCAGTGGATGAGCTCTGCTGGGTTTCCAGCAGCTGAAGACATTCACCCTGCATCAAGAGCTGCTGGATCAGTTCTACACAGCCATTATAGTCTGTTTATCACAGCATCCTTCTGCTCTGACATCCACAAAACAAAATGCATCATCAGGTTTGCATAAAGAACACTGGCATTACTCATTCTGCTTTATCTGCACACCTCCAGAACTAGGAAGTGTGGAGAGAAAACCAAATCTTACAGTATTACTGTGGTAGAACCCTGGTGTCTATTTCAATGGTTTGATTGTAAAGCTACAACAATGATATTGTGTCTGAAGAACGTGTGGGATGTCACTCCAGGATCAATAATGATGCCTTCTTCAGTGGTCAATAACCTGATGATCATCTCATTTGCAGTGATGGAAATCCCCCCAAACTCTCACAGCTGTCTCAGTCTCAGGGGGTTTTGGTGTGTTTGTGATGTGAAACTCAGATTTGCATGAGCAGAACGGCTGATGAAGGTCAGAGCAGCACTGTGGAGCTTCTGCAACTTCAATCGTACAGTAAATTTCTTGTAAATGATTTTAAGAATTTTTTTTAGTAATTGTCCATCTGAAATGAGTTTGACTTTTATTTACCGAAACTTTATTCAAATGGAAACTCTTTTATTTATGTTCAGGGTTGTTCCATCAAATCCCCTGAAACAAAATCGAGTTGAGAAGAGAACTGTGCCTGAAGCACCTTACATTTCCTGTCTAACATTCTAAAAATATTCACCGCAGTCTTTAGTTTCCTATGACAAAGTTTTTGCTCCAGCTACGAGGTACCAGTGCTGCCCATGTTACGTTCCACTCAGCTCTTCTTCGTTCTCCTCTCGCTGTAGAACTCGACATCATCACTCAGAACTCTCCTCAACCTTCTGCGTGCACCTTCTGCTGAATCAGTCCCCCTGACATCCACACTGTGGGTTGTTCTCACTGCTCTGCTACTCTGACTGGTGCTGCCTCAATCAGATCCATCTCCAGATTCTCACGTCTTTACCCTTTTCTACCAGTTCATCACTTTGATTAAGTGGGAAAAGCAGTCTTCCATGCCCTCACACTTCTATTTGTCCAGTGAATTGACATGTCAGATTATCGGCTACATGCTCTAATCTTCTGCAAGTTCCTAGCTTGATCTAGTTGGATGAGTTACTGGTTAAAAAGAATGTGCTATATTCAGCTTAACTGTCGTCAAAACAACCCATGTCAGGATAAAGGCATTCAGTAAAATTGCAGTTGTGGTAATTTACTAATTTGAATGCAGATACAGATTCGTATTGTATTTTATTGTGGACAATTTTCTTCTCATGTCCCTCTTTTTGTCTCTTCTGACTTTCTCCTTCTTTGTCTTCAACTTCCCTTCATTCTACTTGTCTGTCTTAATCCCAGTCCATCTCCACATCATCTTTCAATCCTATTCCAGGTCATGTGGTTCCTCAGATGCCTACCGAGTCAGATTATCTCACTATAAACTCGGTCTTCACCCGTCTTCACCCTCTCCACTGCCTCCTGATTGTTCTACCTGCCAATACCCAACTCTTCATGTATCCTTCAATCCCTTCTGGCTTGTACCTGCAGATCCCCCAAGATGTGGACTCTCCACTCTACTGTTGGCTCCATCACCATCACCCCTTTCCCCCATACACTACCACCCTCCAGTCATTCCTCTTGCCAACGCCATACAAACATTAACTTGAACCTCTGTGCACTACACTTATTTTGCTTCAGCTGGTTGCATCACTCCCTGTCTGATTGGAGCTGCTAGATCACTCTCACTGGATTACCCAAGCCTTATAAGTGCAGGGTCCTTTTGGTTCCAGAGTGTGCTCTCTTGTTGTCTATTTATGGTTGAATTCTCATGAGGCAATTAGCCCTTCGAGTCAACTCACTCTGAGTCTTTATGCCTTCATAGCCCCTTCTTTCTCAGTCCTCTAATTAGCCCCTAGTCCAGCAGGTGAGTGACCCCTCTACTTCACTGGATTTCTTCATCGTTTCCATAAACACTTACCATGTTCAAACAGTGCTTTGTTTCTTTATCGGACTGTCATCTACCCTTGCAAACTAATCTTTTATCTCTACCCTTGAACACATCATTTGCATCATTATCATAAATGGCTCCTCTTCACCTCCAACCTCCTGTCGCACTTTGTCCCTCTTTTCCCCTGGATGTTCCACCACTTTGGATGCTACATCTCCCCCTAAACACCTGACACCATCCTTCTTGACACCACATCTTTTTAGGCCTGTCTACTGCAGGCTAAGCTCAAATGTCTCCCTCTTGAACTCATTTTCTGTTGGGCCACATCAACCACATTCATTTTTCTACAGTGGCACCCTTTACATCCTTTACATCCTTAAGTCCTGGTCCACAGATACTGTCAATTATCTAAGGGCTTCTTGCCATGATCAGAGCCTCATCTGGCCTCCCTGTGTATCACCATGTGCATGAGTGAATGCTTCTTTAGCATCATGGGCCTGTTTTCTAGGCTTCATCTAGCCTTGCAGGACAAGACATGCTCATCCCCTTCACCCCCAAATTCCTCTAATCTGTTTAGTTAGAATTCAATTCCAGTAGCTCATCTTTTCCCAAACAAATCTGCTAATTCTTCTATATTACATTTATTCTGGCTGTATTATTGTAACTGTGAACAGCAGAGGCCACATACAGTTGCTGGTAACCTACTGTTAACTTTTTTCACCAGTGGTATCTTCTGAATATAAAGTATAATGTGCTATAAAACTGACATACTTAATGTGATCGGTTTAGAAATTTCAAAACTGAGTATGATTATCATTACGAGATCACATCTGGCCCTGCAAGAGTTGCAAGGTCCAAGCATTTTCCACCAGCCGCTAGCAGATGGCGACAGCGGCGAGGCGCCACAAGTTCAGGGAACTCCAATTCCCAGAAGCCCTCTGGCTGATTAGGCCCAACCTGGCACACCTGTGGACTCCTCTACTTAAGGCCATGGCAAACAGCAGCCCTTTGTCACACCTTTGTAGAGGGGTGACCGGTACGGTGCTTAGCCCAGGTGGGTATTTAGACAAAAAGGAAAGGAAAAAGAAAAGAAAAGAGGACTGGGAAAAAAAATTAAAAGAAAAAAGAGAATTTGCCCCAAAACAATAGACAGAAGAGAAAGACGGCATAAAAAAAACGAATAAAGTGCCCCAAACTACTTAAAAGCCAAAAACAAGGCTTAAAGAAAAAACGGCTCCAAGCCATGCAAAGTGTTTGCTCCACAAAGAGCAAACAGGTGAAACATAAAGCTGATCTTCCTCTCATAATTACAGAGGAAGTGTCTTTTGTTTTTTGTGATTATCTTTTATTTCACTTTATCTCAGCCTTTGAGCTGCTTTCAGCGTCACCCAATTCACAATCCATCACCTAAATATATTCATTTAAGACACTTTCTCAGGGGTTTTCCTCTCTCCACTTAAGTCCGCTTCCCTGCCGTCCCGTAACAAGATTAGGTTCCATCTTAACTTCAAATCATAAGACAGGAACAGTAGGGTGTTATATGTTAAATATGTTAAATATTTTAAGAGTTAACTTAATTCTGAGTCTGGTTCAGTGTACCTGGTTGACACACCCTTGTGGACAGCTCTGCATACATTATATATCTTAAGAGGTAACTTACTTCTGACTCTGAGTCAGGGTACCCATTTGATCCCCCCTTCTGGACAGTCCTGTGTACATTATATATCTCGAGTTAATTTAATTCCAGGTTATACAGAGTAAACTACTGTTTTCTGGATTTACTGATGGTAAAAAGACAATCCTACAAAACTGGATCACACCTGAACTTCACTTGGAATCATTTTGGGCTGTTAATTTACTTAATATAGCAAACGTGAATGTACTCCTGTACAACTTAACCATGCTAAGCCTTTTGAGGTGTATTTAAAAAGAGTAACTTTATAAAAGAAGGCAACAGCACTCTTAACTTTTAGTATAAGTTGATGTTGTAGTATCTAGGAGTTCCCTGTGTGCTCCATTTTGCAGGGGATTGGAATGTTTAAATTAAGGGGCCCCCTGGTCCAAAGGCCCCATAGGGAGTAGGTCTCTCACTTTCTCCCTTCTTCTCTTAGTTCCAAATAGATGAGATCATTTTAAAAAGGACCATATGTTCTGCCTTCTGTTTCAACAACAAGAACCATATATAAGCAGTTGGCTATTCTATTCTGGAGGGGACACTTAGAATTGGCACGGATCCTCTCTCAGGTACTTCATAGTGCTTGATATGATACTGTTTTACTTTGTAATAAACATCTTATACTGGCAAGACAGTGTCGACGGAGTTTTCCTTCATCATCTTCACATCATCGCTACTTGATAAACAACACTATGACTGTTGAAACATGGCAAAGTTTTGTGTTACGTATTTTGGATTTCCTCCATGTATGCATTGAACACGGACACTTCCTCCTTTATTTAATTTTGTCCGATGATGATTGTACCTGTGATCACTTTTGCTCTTTGTTTTTGTTTCTGCTGTCTGTTGCTCCCTGTCCCCCATTATTTATTGTTTTGTGAAACAATAAAAAAAATTCTTGATCACAAAAGTCAATTTACTTCTTAATCTGGGTCAGTGTGCCTGGTTAACGCCCCCTTGTGGACAGTCCTTTGTACATTGTGTAAATAATTCCAGATGAAACTGAAACAGTGAAGTTTGTAAAAGGTTTTATTTTGCAGATGTGATTAAAGCAGTGAATGGAAGTGAAGTTGAGGATGAGAAGATCTGAGGTGGAGCTGTAAGATGATGTAGGAGCTGATGTCAGCAGAAACACTCGTACACACTGCAGACTGATGGAGAGAGAGTGTGTGTGTGTGTGTGTGTGTGTGTGTGTGTGTTAGTTCTCGATACACTGCTGTGTGTTCAGACTCTTCTTCACTGCTGTGCTGGAGCCGTGACTGACCTCACAGCTTACTGCCCTCGTCTTCCTCCACTGGTCCGCAGTGAGGGTCAGCGTGCTGCTCCAGCTGTACAGGCCATTTCCCTGCTGCAGCACGCCGGGGCTGACCACCACACCTGAGCTCCACCTGCTACCGTCCACCTTCCAGCTCAGCATCCAGTCTGAGGGAAAGCCCTTACTGACCAAACACAGCAGTGTAGCCTTCCCCTGCTGGAGCTCCTCACTGGAGGGGGGCAGCAGAGAGAGGGAGGACTGAGTGACACCTGGACACACCAGAAAGAGTCAGAGACAGGGAGAGAGAGGTGAATAACAGAATATCCCCGTGCAGCAAGTCACATCATTGGTTTCCATGAAAAGTTTGGAGTAAAAGCTTTAATTCATGCTGTCCTGCAGAATTTCAACACTGAGCTCCAAATAGTTTTTAGTTCTGAATGTTTTAATTTTGTCCATTTTAGGTTTTAATTGTCTTAAATAAAGAGTGCAGTTTATCTGCTCACTGAACATTAATATCAGTGTAACTGTTGTGGAAAAATGCAGAAGTTTCTGTTCTCTGAAATGGTCATAGTCGGTTCTGTTAATCGTTCTGAAGAACTTTCACTTCCTTTAACAGACTTTATGTTCATAAACAGAACAGTTCTGTTAGAGAAGCTCCAGCTCATTAAAACTAATTTCCCTATTTACAATAACTGAGGGGATTAATAATATTCTAATAATTTAATAATAATTGAATCAGTCTATCTCTCTTTAACTTCAGTTTAACAGACATTGTGTTTATAAAGAATAGAGTGAAAAAAAAAATATCATTACAGTAATGAGTACAATAATTACAGACTGTACTAAATAACTACACTGTAATAAACATTTTTCTGAATTCAACCTAAAAAATGAGTTAATGAGGCAACAAAGAGTTTATCGATGTTTAAAAATACCAAAATACATTGAATAAAGTTGGAAAACTGTGCAAAGCAAAGTTTAAATCTTAAACAACTACTGCCCTGTTTTACAGTGTAAAAACTGCAAAATGAGTAATAGTGAGTGATGAGTAATATAACAATACTCTGGCATTCAATATATCTGCATTTCAGCATTCTAATTAAAATGAATTAAAGTTGATAAACTGAAAGAATGATGTAAACATACAATATTATAGTAAATTGTATTTTAGTAAAGAAAGCTAAATTACCTTTTCAAATTTGAATATTTTTATCTATATTTATATATTATGAAGTGAATAAAAAAATGACTCACGTCCAACAGAGAGTTTAGTTCCTCCACCGAAAATCCACCAGTGTCTGTACAAAAACCTTAAAGTCCTGCAGTGCTTATTTTGGTGATCTTTGTGCTGCAGCACTTTTGAGAAAACAGGTTTGATCCATTTTAAAGGTCAGTAAAATCTGTAGGTTTCTATAATGGACTAAATGTGTGTGGATATGAAGGAGTCTCTGGGTGAGAGCAGAGGAAGGACAGTAAGGTCAGTCAGTAGAAGAGAGGTTTTGCATGCTCACAGCTCCACACTCTTTAAGAGCGGTGAGTTCATCACTGGAGACTTCAGTCCTTTCAGAGCCCCTCACAGCACAATGATGACCACTCTGATCCTCCTGCTGACCACACTGGGCTTCTTTCCTCAAGGTCAGACTTTATTTATTTCTACAGTCTGGTGAAGTGCTGAGTCTGGTAACCTGCACTTTCCACACTGACAGTGTTCTCCTACAGTTTTGGAGGTTTTATTCATTCTCTTAGTTTGTGTTTGTTCTCGTTCCTTCAGTGTCCCACCAAGAGGTCCAGACTCCTGAGAGAAGTTCTGTTGAAGCAGGACAGTCCGTCACCTTCAGCTGTGTTGCGAGTGGTGGGATTGGTTATCAGATAAGTTGGTACCAGTTGAAACCTGGAGCAGCTCCTAAACTGCTGATTTACACATCAAGTTATAGAGGTTCTGGAGTTCCAGAGCGATTCAGTGGAACAAATTCTGGATACACCTTTACGATGACCATCAGTGGAGTCCGGCCTGAAGATGCAGGAGATTATTACTGTATGGGTGGTTACAGTGGTCCAGTGTTCACACAGTGAAAAAGAGTCGTACAAAAACCTCCCTCAGTCAGACGCAGAGAAACTGCAATGCTGCAGCTGCAGCTACTGAACCACACAGTGTTATTGTTATTGAACTATTATTTATTATCACGTTTTCATTATTATTTTTTAATTACAGCTTTGCTTTTAGTTGTTTTTATTTGAATGTTCAGTTAAATCAGCTAATGTCTTATTTAAACTCTCACTCGTGACTAAATTATTTTCAGTTATTCATGCTTTTTCTTTTAAAAGACAATGTTAAACATGAAAAATATCTAAGGTATAGAGACAAATACTTAACAGAATTTATTAGCTATGCATTTACTATAATCAGCACGAAATTATGGTAACATCTACCTCTTCTCATTTAACTGAAGACACTTTTTTTGCCTTTCACAATTTAAAATTCTTAAAGAAATCAGACATGCTGAGATGCGACTGGAAACCTGGATGTCAGAAGGTGGGAAGGAAAGCAATAGTTGAGTTTTACAAATTTTACAAATGAACTCTTCAATGGAAAAACTCTTAAATGCATAACAATAGTTAGAAATATTATGTTTATGAAAGGAAGCGTCTGTATAGAAAATAAAACAGGACCCAACATGGAACCTTGAGGAAATCTTAATCTGAATTCTTAATTTTTGTCTCGAAATTGTTGTAAAGTTGCTCTTGCTTTCATTTAAACACTTTATAGTATTTTGATAACTTTGTTTTTGTGCGCACGTGTGTGTTTAAATACATCTCTGTGTAAAAATTGTTACCCCAGCCAAATTACATATTTTCACGATTTTGTTTTGTGAAAAGAAGTGTACACACCCCCTGCTACAAACTATATATTTAAACACGACTCTTTTCAAAGAATGTTAATATACAGTTACTTGATATTTACACTGATATGCCAAAAGTCATGGGACAGGAACTAGTATCGTGTAGGACCTCTTCTAGCCCAGCAAAGTTCATCAACTCGATGATTCCACAAGTGGACAGAAGATGTCTGGATAGATGTTGAGCCATGCCATCTGGATAGCCACCCACAGCACTGTGGTATTTGTAGGTGCAGGATCTCTGGTGCGAATGGACCACTCCACCACATCCCGTAGATGCTTGATTGGGGTAAATGTGCAGACCATTCGTCAGAACTCTCCAAAATGCTCTTAAAACCAATTCTGGTCAACTTGGGCCTGATGGTATGGTGCATTATCCTGCTGGAATATCCCATAATTGTGGGAGTACATGAAGTCTATGAAGGCAAATGGTCATCAGTGAAACGGTCAATGACTTGTTCAGGCGGACCAGTGGACCCAACCCATGCCATGAGACGAACACACCCCACACCAGTATGGAACCACCACCAGCCTGCACAGTGTCTTGTTGAGCCCTACCATCAGCCTGAAACAATGGGTACTGTGACTCATCAGATCATGCTACATGTTGCCAGTCCTCCAGTTCTCAAACTCACGAGCCCAGGCAAGGTGATGTGCCCAGTTTTGTGGTGGCACTCTGGTGGGTCTTCTGCTCCCATTTCCCATGGTAGCTAAAGAACACTGCACTGACCTGTGGGATATGCGTGTGGGGCCTCTGCATTAAACGTGGATGTGATTTCTGCGAGAGTTGCTTGTCTGTTCACCCAGACAATTCTAGCCAGTCGCTGCCGGTCACGATCATTTAGCACCTGTGGGCGGCCACTGCGCTGTCCACTGTGGGTGGTCATGCCTTCTATAATAACACTGTGAATCAAGGAATGTTAAATGCCTGCACAACTAGTCAACTAAATTTAGATGGCTATACGGTCATTGCAAACACTACTGTAAAAAATGTAGACATCATCTTCGATTCCAGTCTCTCTTTTGATACGTTTGCAACACTGTAAGAACCGCATTCTTTCACTTGCATAACATCACTAAACTACTTAATATTCTAGCCCTAAACAATGCAGAAAAACTTGTGCATGCATTTATAACCTCCAGGCTGGACTACTGTAACACCATTTTAGCTGGATGCTCCAACACTTTAATAAGGACCAAAAAGTTTGACCATATATCCCCAATCCTGTCGTCATTACACTGGCTACCCATTAAATTTCATGTAGAGTATAAGAACCTTCTCTTAATGTATAAATTGTTAAATGGCCCCGCAGTATCTTAGTGAATTATTCCAGTCATATGAACCCAAACGTACGCTCCACTCACAAAATAATGGCCTGCTGACGGTTCCTAGAATTAGAAAAACCACAGCAGGGGGTCGAGCTTTTTCCTACGTAGCCCCAAAATTGTGGAATCATCTCCCGACCTCTGTTCAGGACTCAGACACACTCTCAACATTCAAAACTAGACTCAAAACTTTTGTTTGCACAAGCATTTTGCTGATCAGTTAATATCAGCTAATATCTCTACATAAACTGACCTGTCCTGTTAATCAATTTCTCTCTCTCTCTCTCTCTCTCTCTCTCTCTCTTTCTCTCTCTCTCTCTCTCTCTCTCTCTCTCTCTCTCTCTCTCTCTCTCTCTCCCTCCCTTTATCTGAGACCCTGAGCAAAGTCTGCCTGAGTCGCCACATGTGAGCCACCAGAGCAGCTAGAGTCACCAGAGCTCCATCTCTGTTGGCTGATCTGCACCTCACCTGCATGAACTGACCCTCCTGCTGCTGCTGCATAAACTCTAGCTAATTAACCGTTGCTCCACCTGTTTTTCCCCGTTTTGTATTCTAATATTTTATTCTAACATTGTTTGCTATCCGGTGTGGTCCAGAGGAGGATGGGTTCCCCTTTTGAGTCTTGGTTTCTCTCAAGGTTTCTTCCTTTTGCTCTTAGGGAGTTTTTCCTTGCCACTGTCGCCATTGGCGACGCTCATGGGGGCTCAGACCCGGATTTTTCTGTAAAGCTGCTTTGTGACAGCACCTGTTGTAAAAAGCGCCATATAAATAAACTTTGACTTGACTTGACAACTTTGGAAATGGAATTTCCCATCCATCTGGCACCCACTATTGTGCCTCGTTTGGATGATAATTCACATCCCCTTGCCATGAGCACGCTGGCCAGTGTTCAACCTCATACACAAGATAACATCTCTCAAATTAAACAAGTGTGGGCGTTCCCACGCTGTCCCCTGAGGTAATGCCACTTCACAATCAGTTCACATACTGCTATCCAATGACTTTTGGCATGTAAGTGTAAATCTAAAAATGAAGCTAATCAATGCCTACAAAACAGGGGATTGCTGTAAAAAGATATCAGAGCTCTTCCAGCTCACCCTTTCCACTGTTGGAAATGTCATTAAGACATGGAACTGTGAAAGGTGAGGCAAGATCTGAAAGTGCAAGGAAACTCTCAGATAGTACTGCATCTAACTGAAGAAGTGTTGTGATAATTTATAAGAGCATGTATAACAACTGCCTTGAGTTATTACAGCACTGACTCTTTAGAGGGCTCTTTGGTTTTCACATTTGTCGCCAGATTTTACACTGGGTCTATCTTGGAGCAGATCATAACAGGAAGTCCAGCATCTGCTGCCGTAACAGAACACACTGTGCCAGCCAGGAGCTTAGCTTTGAATATTGACCCACCATTCTGCAGAACGATCCCAGCAGAACGATGGAACAATGGACCAGACGTTTATTTAGTTTTTACTCTCAACTTTCATGGAGGGTCTGAAAGCAGGTGCAGTCCACTAAACCTGACTATTCTTGGAAGCACTGCCCAGAGGTTTGGCTGCTAGATAGCTACACAGAGACCTGCTGTTGGACAGAAATTTGACCCTGTAAGATGAAACTTCGTAAGGATTAAAAAGATTCTGAAGTAGGGCTGCCCTGATTGTTGTCACTTAGGAAGTGTTAGCAGAAGTACTAAGATTCTTAGAAGACAAAAGCAAAATCATGTTTCAGAGTGCTGGAAAGAACATATGTTCCACATTCTCTTAAAGGCTCCACCAGCCAAACTCGTGGATGTTCTTGTTTATTAGTGTTTTCATGAGAGCTTCCTTTATTGCAGAGGTAGAGACAGAGGTGGTGATCGAACCACATGAAGCTGTCTTGGGCTGTTTATTATAATTTGTGAAGCTATTATGATCTTATCACTTGTGTTTGGAGAATGTCACTCCACAGCAAATAATGCTGCCTTTTCCACTTGTTAACCTAATAATAACCTCGTTAGCAGTGATGGAAATCCCCCCAAACTCACACAGTCTCAGGGGGTTTGAGTGTGTTTGTGATGTGAAACTGAGATTTGCATGAGCAGAACGGCTGATACAGATCT